ACGTCCCCAAATATACTAGAGAGAGGTAACCCTTAAATGGAGAAAAATGCGGACACTTGGGTTTCATATACATTATCTCATCCAACTCTTAAAAAACCCTAGGCGTGTAAGTCCCGTTTTATAAATGGGAAACTATGGCTTAGAGAGGCTAACGTGCCCTAGTTACACAGCTAGTAAGAGGCCCCGGCCAGGTGGGAGCCTAGGTCTCTGGATCTGACTGGATTATAACGTCTCCTGCTTGTTCCTGTGGCAGTGGCGGTTGGCAGACACGCCAGTTCACAGCCTGCCCATGCACGAGGGACATTTGTTACTCTCTCGTCTATAGAACTTCGTATTATTTGATGTTATCACGCCTACATTGCTTCTGTAGTTCATGAAAATAATAAAGACATAAAAAAAGGGAAAACAATAAAATCAATGGTTCATGGAAAACATTGTGAAATGCTTCTATCTTGGGAACGGTGGGTTTTATCACCCAGAGGACTTAGGAAGACAGAATATAAAGAACATGAAGTGCCGAAGAAAATTTAGGTTCTGGTCCTGATCTGTTCCTCACCAGCTGGTTGGCCTTAGACAAATCATTTACCTCTCTGACCCTCAGTTTTCTCATCCTGAAACTTATTCCTACCTCACGGACCTGTGAAGGTCAAATAGGAAGATAAATACGTCTTCAACTGTAGAATGCAACCTCTGTCCTAGTTAATATAAGCATTGACGCTGTCATATTTGCTGAAGCTGCCCTTTGTTGCAAGGAAGGGGACCCCCTGGTGGCTTCCGGGGCACACTCCCTGTGGAAGCAGGAGTCAGGGGCCTTTAGCCACGTTAAGTGGATGGTGGTTGGTTCTGCCAATTTATTTCCTACTGCAAGCTCTCTTCCCCTTTTACCTACACATCTGCGTGTCAGGAATAAATTCTTCCTCCCTACAATGTCATTTTTTGATGGAAACTTCCAGACCAACTCAGATAGAAGGAAGGAGGGGGGAGGACAAAAGCCCACATTTCTTCAGCGTTTCAATCAACAACCTCATTTTCTTCTAACAGTTGAAGTGAACTTCTTATGAATAATGGATGATAGCCTGATGAATATGCACACAGCCTATTATGCCTGTGAGGTTTGGTAAATAATTTATGAGCTAAAATGTTCCTCACCTTGTTACTGTACAAAAGTTATGGAAAGAAAACCATATTTACCCTTTGAGCTGGTAGGGTGATCTGTCAGAGTGACAGCAGCCCAGCATATACCTTTACATCATGGCTAAAATTAAATACAAGAAAATACATGCATTTCAGGGTGGGAGGTCTGTAAAAAGAGGAACATGCACAGCCACACTCCCTGTCACGTACAAGTTTTCAAAAACTCTGGCTTCTCATCATGAAATATCCCTGGGTTGTTAACAGCACTCAGGGGCCTCCTTCACGGTCCATTCTCCTCACAAGGACTTTGATATGACCAGTTAAGATGGACTACAGCTTCCTTGTTTTATCAACACTAACTAACCACAATGAGCCATAACATTATAAAATTTAAGTCACCAGATTTTTTTTTAATTTTTGTTTTTTGTAATTCTAAAAGCTTTCAGAGCGAACAAGCAGATAACAAACACATGGGAGATAAAAAACAACAAAAACTGGCCGGAGAAGCGCTTGGAAATGTATTGCTCTCCTTCCTCTCCTCACAGCGGAGAGTTTTTTCCTGCTGACCAACCTGACTCCCTGCCGTACCATCCTTCAGCTCACTCCCACCTGCCCCAGCCTCAGTCCCTTAGCAACCGCAGTGATGCCTCTAGTCTGGTGACTGGAGCGGAGGAGGGGCACGATTAACTATGGAGATAAGGAAGGTGCTTGGGAAAATATGCACAGAACCTGGGGAAATGTGGGTGCTCCATGACAGGTTTTGAAGATCTGGGACTGGGTCAGTTCTCCAGCCAGGGAAGTAAGGACCCCCGGGGTTATCTGCTTACATTCCTAGAGATTTCTAGGAATAAAATACGTGCCAAGGGACCATCCCTGATAAGCTGGGTGCTTGGAGATCAGGCAAAAGAGGAAACAGAAGGCTGTCCCACGTCTGGGGGATAAACCAATACATTCCCAGGAAACAGAATGAATGGCCTACAAACAGATTCTGTAATGAAGTTATTGGAACAATGATGCAATTAAAATAATAATATTATTACAACAATGTATTATTCAAGAAGGCATCTTGGAGGAGGTCAATCTTGATAGAGTTTGCAAAGAAAGAAGGGACCCAATTAAATAGAAAGATTAGGGGGTATATATAGCCAGGCCCGCCTGATCTGGGCCATGCCTGTCTTCCCAGCCTCCTTTTGTGCCTTCACTCGCTGTGCTCCAGCCACATGGTCAGCCTCTGTTTCTTGAACACCAAGTTCTTTCCTGCCTCATTGTCTCTGTTCCTTCTGCCTCCCGATTATTCTCTCAAACTTTGCCCTAAATACTCATGACTTCCTCAGAGGTCTTCCCTGCCCCCCAGTGTTCATCTCTCTCACATCACCTTCTTGTCTTCTTAATTATCATGTGGAATGATATATTTATGTGTGTTGTGCTTTTTTTTTGTTTAATGTCTATTTTTCCAGCAAACTATAAATTCCACTGGACACTTCGAAGCCAGCCCATTATCTGGCACACGGCAGATAGTAACTATCTGCAGGCTCAGAGGCGTGGGAGTCCCGGAGGAAAAGGAATTGCGCTGGGTTGAGGATATTGCTGAAGAGCTGGATTTGGCATGAGACGCAAAGGGAAGCCACCAGTGAGTGGCATCGTCTCCCTACACGAACCGCCATGTACACTTTGAGGAATTTTTATATTATACATGCAGTTACTGCCCACAATAAGATACCAAGCATTCCAACACCTGAGAAGATCTGTGGTCACGGAAATATTTATATTTTGACTCTTTTCTGATTATAAAATATATTATTATTCCAAAAAGATTATATTGCAATCATGCAACAACAACAACAGAAAGATTGTATTACAAGTATTGGTGAGGGTGTGGGACAACTAGCACTCACAGAGGTTACTAGCAAGGACATGAATTGCTTCAAACATTTTGGAAAACTATTTAGCAGTATCTACAAAAGCGAAACATAAACCCCAAGTCTAGCAATTCCACTCCTCAGCATTTACCCAGGAGAAATAAGTGCATGTATCGGGTGTCCCAAAAAAATGTATAAACACTTTGAATAATTACAAAGGCAGTGTTTATTAAAATACATTTTATTTTCAAAATTGAGCTATCTGCTGTTAAAGTGTGTATACATTTTGGGGGGGACACCCTGTATTTACCAAAAGACTTGTGCAAGAATGTTCATAGCAGTTTTATTCATAAAAGATAAAAACACGAACAACCCAAAAGCCCACCAATAGTAGAATGGATAAATTGGAGCATAATTACACAATGAAATATATATAGCAATAAAAAAATAACAAGTAATACTGCTGGACCCAACAACATGGATGAATCTGAAAAACATCTGTTGAGTGACAGAAGCCAGACACAGAGTATATACTGTCTGATTCCATTTATATGAAGTTCAAGAACCAGCAAAACTAATTTGTGGTGATTGAAATCAGAATAGTAGTCACTGGTCGTCTATCAGCTCCAAGAAGCACAAGGGAGCCTTGTCAGGTGTTGGAAATGCTTTGTATCTTATTGTGGGTGGTAATTACATGTATAATATAAAAATTCCTCTAAGTGTACATTTACGATTCGTGTACTTTAGTGGGTGTATGTCATGCCCCAATAAAAAAAAATTAAGTAAAAAAGTAATATTCACAGAAATGTATACAATATAAATTAAAGATTTCCTTTTCCCAAACAAAACCACAATTAACATTTTGGTGTATGCCTCCTTGAACCCCTTCGACCACATCCATTTCTTTCTTCACACAAGCCCTGATATCCATGCCTTCCAAGGCATCGGATCTGTGTGTGTGCAGCACCAAACCAAGTCACGTAGCCTAAGAGCTTCTGCCTTCACGGTGACAACGTTCACTAGCAATACTGGCCCCCTGCACATAAAGCACTGGTTCTCAACCTTCCTAATGCCGCGACCCTTTCACACAGTTCCTCATGTTGTGGTGCCCCCAATTTCATTGTTACAAATTGAACATAATTAAAGCATAGTGATTAATCACAAAAACAATATGTAATTATATATGTGTTTTCCGATGGTCTTAGGCAAACCCTGTGAAAGGGTCGTTCGACCCCCAAAGGGGTCGCGACCCACAGGTTGAGAACCGCTGACATAAAGCGTGGTAGGAAATACAGAAGTGAGTTAAGTCCTAACCTGTGCTGTCGAGGAACTGACAGCCTGGGGGGCAGGACTACGGGGACTACAGACCAAACAAAACCCCCAGGAGCTCTAATATTCTACAACCCTCCTGGGTGGGGGAGCCCGCAGGACCTGGGCCCCCGCCCCCAGTGGAATGAGGCTCTGCTCCGAAGTTTCGGCGCTGGCTGGACTATGTCCGAGTTCCCTCTCCTGTTTCCCAGCGGGGTCCCGGCCCGGGGCTTGGGAATGGACGTGAACTTGACTTCCAACCTTGCGAAGGGCCGATGACTAACCCACGGAGGGAAAGGCGGCTGCTGGGAGTCACCGCCGTCGCCGCCCCCATCCCAGGCTTCAGGGAATGCGGCTTCGGGTCCCGGTCCGGACCCCGGGCTCCCGCTCCACGCTCGCACCTTCCAAAAGGAAACGACCTCCAGCGGGACCTCGGAGGGGCTGCGTGACCCGCCGCACCGACCCTCCGCCCCTGTCCCGGGGCGAGGCTAGCGGCTGAGGCTCCCGCCCCCGCCCGCGGCTCCCGGCCCCCCGATCCCCATCCCCTCCCCTCTGCGCCGCCCCCGGCGGCCGGCGAGCGCGGTGCAGCGCGCCGCAAAGCTCTTTGCATAAATTATGCTCATGACGCAGTAGCTAAAAAAATCCAAGTAGCTGAAGGAGGGAAAAAGGGGAGGAGGGAAAAAGGGGGGGCCGTGGAAAGGGGAAAAGAAACATACATATACCTGAGCGCCCCCACCCCGCCCCAGCTTCCCGGCCCGCTCCCCGGCCGGCCCGCCTCCGCCCGGCGCAGCCCGCGGAGTCCCCTTGGGCTCGGCCCGTCTCGGGCTGGGGGTCCGGGGGCGGCGGCGGGTCCCGACCGGTTCCCGGGCCGAGCCGAGCCCAGCCGAGCCGCACTGGCTTCTTTGTCTACAGGCGGCGGCCGCCCCGGCCCCGGCCCCGGCCCCCGGCCCCCCGGCCCGGGCTGTGAGATGAATGTCTAATCGGTGGCCGCCGGGCACCCAGGGCGAAGGCGGCTCGGGCTCGGGCTCCGGTAAGTAGCGGGGTCCGGGGCGGGGAGGGGTTTGCACGGAGGGGGAGGGGGCCGGGCAGGGGAGGTTTCGGGTTTGGTTAATATGCAATGCCCGTAATTAGCATAATTTATATATTTATGATAAAGAGAAAAAAATGCCGCGGGGCCGGGGCGCCGGGATGCTGGGCCGGGCGGCGGGAGCCCTGGGAGTGGGACGGCGCGCGGCCGCCGCCTGGGGCCGCAGAGCCCGGGGGCTCGCCCTCGCTCGTCCGCGGACCGGCGGGGCCGCGGGGAGGGGCGGGGGCGGCCGCCAGGTGGACCTCGCAGGGAGCTGGCCCCTGGCCCCTCCCGGCTTCTGCCCCTAGAGCCTGCGCTGGGTGCAGACCCCATCGGACGTTCTGTGCACAGACCCCGGGCGACAGAGCGGGTCCTCGCCCCACGGGAGAACCGGACGCCTGGGTCCCCGGCGGTGAAGGTGCCGAGGCGGCCAAGACGACCCGGGAGGACCGATGGCACTCAGGGTTCGGGACCTGGCGGCGTTGCTGGAAGGGTGGGGGAGGGAGCGAGTACTTCATAAATATTTAATAATATTATTATTATTAATAAATCGTCATAATCATGGGCCCCGTCTGCGTTCCCTGGGCATGCTCACCTGGCAAGGCCACCGGAGCCTCCAGGTGCCGAGTAACCTCCGCTGTAGCGCTGGGATTCCTCACTCAGCTGGGGCTGGGAGCTGCGAGCCTGCACGGAGCAGCCTCAGCTGCGGCCGGGGAAGCCAGACGCCGTCAGGAAGCCTTCCCGGGCAGGTGAAAGAAGTTCTTGCAGAGATTTTAGCTCTTCTGCTCTTTCGGAGTCCTTGTTCCACAAGTAGAGGGCTGGTCCTCCATTGTTCCTGGACATTTGTCCCTCCACTGGTCTTGGTAGGCTAAGGTAGCCAATGTTGACAAGCAGGGCCTTCTTGAGGGATAATTCCATGTAGGATTCCATTTTGGTTGAAGTCCTGGTGCTCAGGGTGATATTTCTGTGACCAGGTACTTCTTTGCATATCAGCGGTAGAACTTCATTCATTGGTTCACTGGTCCAACAAAAATACCTACTATGTGCCACACTCTGAACAGTATAGATAGGACTTCCTCTGTCGTGGAGTTTTCATGCCAGTTTGGGGGGACAGGCAGATCATAAACATGAAAACCAGCAAGGTAATGTGATGAGATGTGTGTGTGTGAGATGGGCTATTTCTTCTCTTGGGGGTACTACCTGGCAATTAAGAAAAAGTCAGAAAAATTTTGCTTCTCTAAGGGCAAGGAGCACAGGATTAGATCATACTCCCCTCCCCAAGATTTACGCACTATAAAGTCATAATAGTAATTTTTTTTACATTTTTAAATAAAACTTTACAGTTAAAAACATTTTTATATGCATGCTTTACTTCAATTAAAAAGAATAGCAATAGCCCAGCCGGTGTGCTCAGTGGTTGAGCGTCGACATATGACCCAGGAGGTCACTGTTCCATTCCCAGTCAGGTCACATACCTGGGTTGCGGGCACCATGTCCAGTGGGGGGGGGGGGGGTAGGAGGCAGCCGATGAGTGATTTTCTCTCATCATTGATGTTTCTATCTCTTTCTCCCTCTCCCTTGCTCTCTGAAATCAATAAAAATATATTTTTTTAAAATAGCAATAGCCCTGGATGGTGTTCTCAGTGGTTAGAGCATCGGCCTGAGCACTGAAGGGTTGTTTTGTTTTAATCCTCACCTGAGGATATTTTTCCATTGATTTTTTTTTAGAGAGAGGAAAGGGGCGCAGGGGGTGGGGGGGAGAGGGAGAAAGAGAGAAACATCAATCCCGAGACCCTTTGGTTCAAGGACCGACGCTCTAACATCTGAGAATAACAGCCAGGGCAAGGATCATAGGTTTGATTCCAGGTGGAGGGCATGTACCTGGGCTGCAGGTTTGATCTATGCCCAGGTCAGGGTGGAGTGCCTCTCTCACAGTGATGTTTCTCGCTCTCGCTCTCTTCCCCCCTCCCTGGGTGAGGATTAACAAAATAATAATAATAGCAGTAACAGTTACATAGTGTTTTCTGTGTGTCAGGCCCTACATAAATGTTATTTAATCCTCACAATAATCCATGAGATGGGTAGTATAATTTAGCCCCTTTTGACAGAGAAGGAAACTGAGGCTTAGAGGGGGTTACCTGAGGCAGAAGCAGTACTCAACTTGAGTCTTCTACCTTTAAACCCAAGCCCTTTCTGTGTCAAAATGAGTTTCAGTGAGGCCACTAAGGGGTTGATACCAGGGAGAAACTGACCAAGGGAGGGAAGGCTTGGGAATGAGGAGCAGAACGGGCACATTAGGAGGGGTTAAGTGTGATCAAGCTTCTCCAGAAATACTACTTTGAAATCACTTTAGATAGCCCTAGTACTGGGAATGGGGGCAAAATATGAAATAGGACGATAGGACATGTTTTGAGGAGAGAAGTAGGAAATAGGAGGAGGCTAAGTGATATGATTTGACCTGACCGAATCAAACTATGACCTCCTGGTTCATAGGTTGACACTCAACCACTGAGCCATGCTGGCCGGGCTGATTTTATTTAATTTATATTTTAATATATCCTAAATTTATGATGTCTTAATTATTTTATATTCATTAGCTCCCTGGTATGTACCAGGTACTATACTAGGCACTGGGATATGGTGATAAGTGGTCATGCCTTCTTGGAGCTTACACTCTAGTGGGGCACCAGACTTACTTTTTATATTTTTCACATTTCATTTGCCCCCCTCTCTTCACTTTGCCTGGGATGAATCAAGTTTGGGCCTAAGGGAAAGGGGGCAGAAGGATAAACTAAACCTAAATTTATCCTTATAAAACTAATCTTTACTGTTTGACTGTGTAGGTCTAAGATTACAAATGGTATGCTCGATGAGGGGAAATAAAGTTGTTCACTACTTCCCTATCTTTTCCCCTTTCTCTTCTTTCCGGCCCGTCTGGGCCTAGCCAGTCTATCAATAGCTTGGCAAGCCATTATCTCTGCCTGTGGATCCAGGGTCTGAGGGGGAGGGTCTGGATCAGAACTGAGAGCTTGCTGGGTCCCAATAAACTATCAGTGATTTATTATCAAATATATATATGTGTGTGTGTGTATATATATATATATATATATATATACATACATACACATATACATACATACATACATACACACACACAAACACACTAGTGACCCGAAACACGAATTTCTGTACATTGAAAGGAAATTAATTAGAAGGTGGCCAGCAGGGCAGGACTGGGCAAGACGGCCAAACATGCCCTGGAGCCAATGGTCGGCTGCACCTGGGTGGCGCTGTGGCTCAAAGGGCATCTGTGGAATGAGCGGGGTTCCTCTGGAGGTGGGGTCCTGTGGCCTGGTGGAATTGTTTGCATGGCCCTGCAAGGAATCGGGCTCCCTCCTCTTTGGTTCCGGGGTGCATCACCCGAGAACCGTGTCTGCCAAGTCACCACAGCTCGGCAGCTCCTGCATTGAGCGTCTGCCCCCTGGTGGTCAGTGTGCATCATACCTACTGGACCATCCATCAGTTGCTTAGTCTTTTATCTACACTAATAATAGACAAATATGTAAATTGACCATACCTCTGCAACGCCCCCACAGCCAATCAGGAGAGAATATGCAAATTAGCAGGACAAAGATGGCGGTGGCCATGGAGCCAGCCAGAGCAGACAGGAGGCTAGGGTTGCCCCGATGGAGGAAGCCAAGCTTCCTACCTGCCTGGGCCAGCCACCGAAGGACGAGCCTGTGGGCTGCGGCCAAAGAGCAGGCTAGAGCCAGTGGGAGGCTTGGGTCACCCCCAGCGGTGGAGGAAGCTTGGCTTCTTCCTTTGCTGGGGGCGACCCAAACTTCCTGCCGGCCCTGGCTGGCCGCTGAAGGAGGGGCCTGTGGGCGGTAGCCACGGAGCTGGCCAGAGCACACAGGAGGCTTGTGTCGCCCTGGCTGGCCACCGAGGGAGGGGCCTGCAAACAGCCCTCAGCCCCTCACCCAGGCTGGCCACACCACCATCGGGGTGAGGGTCCCCACTGGGGGGCGTGGCCAGCCTGAAAATGGCCCTCAGCCCTTTACCCAGGCTGGCCACGCCCCCATGGGGTGAGGGTCCCCGCTGGGGGGCGTGGCCAGCCTGCAAACATCCATCAGCCCCTCACCTGGGCTGGCCAGGCACCCCAGCAGGGACCCCCCCTTGAAGGGGGTGTGGCCAGCCTGAAAATGGCCCTCAGCCCCTCAACCAGGCTGGCCACACACCCTCAGCGGTGACCCTCACCCCATGGAGGTGTGGCTGGCCTGCAGACTGCCCCAGCCCCTCGCCCAGGCCAGCACCTTCCCTAGTGGGGACCCCCACCCCAATGGGAGCATGGTTGGCCTGCAAACCACCACAGGCCCCTCACCCAGGCTGCCCTGCCCCCCCAAGGGAACCCCCACCCTGATCCAGGACACCCTTCAGGGCAAACCAGCCAGCCCCAACCCATGCACCAGTCCTCTATCTAAACTAATAAAAGGGTAACATGCTAATTAGACTGGGAGACCTTCCAGGAGACCTTCCGGATGTTCTTCTGGACAAAGCCATGGTGGCGGGGCCGAGGTAGAGGCGGTTAGGGGCCAAGAGGGGAAGGCAGTTGTGGGTGGTCAGGCCAGTGGGGAGGGCAGGTGGGGGTGATCAGGCCGGCAGCGGGGGGGCAGTTGGGGGTGAGCAGGCTGGCAGGGGGGGCAGTTGGGGGTGATCGGGCTGGCGGGGGGGGGCAGTTGGGGGCAAGCAGGCTGGCAGGCAGAGTGGTTAGGGGCAATCAAACAGGCAGGCAGGTGAGTGGTTAGGAGCCAGCAGTCCCAGATTGCGAGAGGGATGTCTGACTGCCAGTTTAGGCCCGATGGGATCGGGCCTAAACCGACAGTGGGACATCCCCCAAGGGGTCCCAGATTGGAGAGGGTGCAGGCTGGGCTGAGGGACACCCCTCCCCCCCCTCCCCGTGCACAAATTTCATGCACCGGACCACTAGAGTGTGTGTGTGTGTGTGTGTGTGTGTGTGTGTGTGTGTGTGTGTGTGTGTAAATATATATATTTGTTTAAACTATCAGTGATGATTATTCTTCAACAGGTGGGAAGGGAAGTCTGTGTCCTGGGGCCAGAAATGGAGAAGGGTAGGAGAACATACAGAAGGTCCATCAGACAATGACAACTTGAAAGAGGTGGCACCTGCCTGGAGTCTGGCGACTTAAGAACAGGACAAGTAATACTTGTGTGCAGAAGGGCATGTGGTGTTTCTTCACACTAGGTACCAAAGCTGTGTAGACCAGGGTAGTAGTGATGAGAAATGGGGGATTCTGGGCATACTGGAAGGGAGAGCCAGCAAGATTTGCTGAAGGAATAAGCATGAGATAAGGGAGAAAGCAAGGATGATGGCAAGGTTTCTGGCCTGAGCATCTGGAAGGATAAAGCTGCCATTTGCTGAGATGGGAAAGCAGCATGCAGGTGGAGCAGATTTGGGGTGGAAATTAGGAGTTTGGTTTTGAACTTGTTGAGTATGAGATGACATGAGCAAACAGTAGGCCATTGGACATAGGAGTCTAAAGTTCCCAGGTGAGGTCCAAACAAGATTTAGACTTGGTTGGTTGTCAGACTGGGGAAGAGGGGAAGATTGGATTGTCTGCCCCATTCGGCTCAGCCCCAGCTACCAGTCTATACCTATCTCTTGCTTCCTGTCCTTATGGTCTATTTGAATGTGGCAGCTGTGCAGAAGGTAAGTGGGTGCACAGTTTAAAAGTAAAAGTGGTGTGGAGCTGAAGATATTGATGTCTACAAACAGCCTAGCCCAGTGGTCCTCAAACTACGGCCCGCGGGCCACATGCAAATACAAATATTGTATTTGTTCCTATTTTGTTTTTTTACTTCAAATTAAGATATGTGCAGTGTGCATAGGAATTTGTTCATAGTTTTTTTTTTAAACTATAGTCCGGCCCTCCAACGGTCTGAAGGACAGTGAACTGGCCCCCTGTTTAAAAAGTTTGAGGACCCCTGTCCTAGCCTGTGAGAATTATATATATAACATGTGAAAGGTAATTTCCCATAAAAAATGTGACTTTCTACCAATTTAATACTGCTAAAACTAATTTCAGCTCAAGCAGCCATTCTTGAGCTGAAATTTCATGCAGAGTACCTCCACTCCCAAAAATGACTGGATAATGAGAAGGTGTTTTACACCTGGAAGACCTCAACCACATTAAGTGTTAAGGGAGTGAGTAAAACCACAGACATGAGTCTGAATTAAGTTCCATTTTCCTCTCCATGGCACAAGACTCTTCATACATAAAATTTCATACTTGAAACACATGCCATGCTAGAACAGGGGAAAAGGACCACACAAACTTTATTGGGCATCCCTTCTGTGCATCCTCCACCACTCTGTACTCGTCTACCTGACACTGAAACCATACTTTTTATATCCTTGACTCCCATATAGACTGTAGGCGGTGGCAACCTCGCCTCCTCCTCCTCCTCCTCCTCCTCCTCCTCCTCCTCCTCCTCCTCCTCCTCCTCCTCCTCCTTCTTCTCCTCTAATCCTCATCCTTTTTCTTCTTCTATTTGTAATAAGAGAAAGTTTATTTTGAAAGTCACACAGGTAGAAGTGAGCTGTAGAAGGAATGGGCTCAGGAAACAAGTTACACAGGCAAATGAGAGGCCCTTGGAGCTTAGGAGAGAGGAAGGCCTGGCGCCTTGGGTGGTGGGGAAGGGGAAGGAGAGGGGAAGGAAGAAGGTGCTGCTGAGCTCTGGGGAGGGAGAGCCGCTAGGCCAGTGGTTCTCAACCTTGGCTGCGCATTAGAATCACCTGGGAATCTTCTTAAAATCCTGATTTCTGGGCCTCATGTGCAGCCAAGGTTGAGAACCACTGCGCTAGACTGTAGGCTTCTTGACAGAGCTAGGAAAGTTTCCCCCCTATTGTATCCCCAGCACACAGTAGCCACTGAAATATCTGTGAAATAAATGAAGGACAGAGCATTTCAGGATTTTTTCTAATATGATCTTGGGCTGTTTTAGGGGGTTCTGATTTGTTTGAGATTTCCCAATGCTCCTCTGGGTGTTTTGGAGTGTTGCCCTAAGCCTAAAGCAGTTCCTCAAAGAAAATTCGTCTCAGTCCCCTCCACTGGAAGTGCTGATGGCCCTGGACCGCTGGAGTTTTCCTTTGTGGGCAAATGCCTCAGCATGGCAGTTCCTTTCCCCTGAGGTTTCAGGCATTTCTGGGTGTTAGCACAGGAAAGCCAGGAATCGGTGAGCCATCTGTTAGCCAAGCAAGGTGCCTTGCCAGATTTGCTTCAGGGGTTTTCAAACGCAACTCACTGGAGAAAGAACGCAAAAGAGCAGGCTCTGGGTGGGCCCTGGCTCCCTCCCAGCTTCAACCAGAACTGCCCAAATTATTTTTTATCATTATTTAAAATTGTAAATATTTCTTTAAATGTTGCTTTCTTGGCAAATTTATTCAAAATACTATATTCTCATTTTTAAATTTGGTTTATATAACAGAGTGCCTAAATTTGATGACTGTTCACCACTTTAAAAATGGTGAATTTTATGTTATACTAGAGGCCCAATGCATGAAATTCATGCAAGGGGCTCGGCCCTCGCAGCTGTGGCAGCTTGCCTCAGCGGCTTGCCTCAGCCCTCGCCGCCCCAGCTTCGTCTGGAAGGTTGTCCGGAAGGTCGTTTGGCTGTCCAGTCTAAGTAGCATAGTATACTTTTATTATTATAGATGGATTTTATCTCATTCAATAAAAACACACAGAAAAGTAAAACAAACAAATGATGCAGAGATGGAAGAGGAGGATGAAGGGAAAGGTGAGGAATCCAGAACACTTCTCTGAGCTTAGTTTCCTCATCTATATGGTGATAATAATGTCGCCAGCCCCCAACTGGCATGAGTAATACATGGATTAGTTACATAAAACGCTTATTAGCACAGTAGGCACTCAAATAAATGTTAATTGTCTTCTTTTCTATATAAGTGTCCAAACACATTTGTCCCCTTTATTACCTTTATTTCTTATGACTGTATGGTTTGTGGCTCCAGCCAGACAACCTGTTCTTACAAGGGCTTCTCCCACTTCTCACTGCGTTTGGCAGGCTGCTCTACCGTCTGGGATGCTGTCCTGCCTCCAGTGGGAAAGACCAGTCCTTGGGCCACAGCCACAAGATCACCTGAGAGCTGATTCTGTGGGCCCCACCTGCTGGTTCAGGCCCTGGGGATGTTTATTCTGGGTGAATCCAGGCCTGTGTTTTTGTAATAAGTGCTCCAGTGCTGATCGTGCACATTGAAGTTTGAGATTAATGTTTTTGTTTGTTTTGTTTTAAACATGTTTTTATTGATTTTTTAGAGAGGGGGAGAGAGAGAGAGAGAGAGAGAGAGAGAGAGAGAGAGAGAGAGAGAGAGAGAGAGAAACATCGATTGGCTGCCTCCTGCATGCCCCCTACTGAGGATTATTGAGCCTGCAACCCTGGAATGTGCCCTGAGCAGGATTCGAACCAGTGACCTCTTGATGCATGGGACAGTGCTCAATCCACTGAGCCACACTGGCCAGGCGAGACTAATGTTTTAATGTATTCCTGTCTTGACCATCTCTTCCAGGAGGTCTGCTCAGACTCCTTCCCTGAGAAGCACTCTGACACCCAAAGTGCTCCTTATCCAGGTCTGAGGTTCTGAGTGTCTGGGTCAGAGTTACTTTAGGTTCCGCTGAGTCTTCTCTCTCCCAATGGATGGGGGAACACCCAGGGACAATCTCTGGCCCTTCTCTCATCACCCTGGTTCTTCTTCCTTCCCACCTCCCTGAGTGTAGGTTCTCCTGGGAAGCTATAGGAAGCAAGACACTTTAGTTGTAAAGTCCTTAGAATACTTTCCGTCTACAAATACTTGAGAGAACTTAGCTTCTCTCTTTTCCTACCATTCTACTTAGGACTTTTTGCAGTAGTGTGGAATTTGTACTACTGTGTCATATCAGCCTTTGCTTTTCCCATACCATTTCACCCCACAGGGCGTGCTAGGTGTTGGCTGGCCCCCACCCCACCCTGACAAGTGACCATGGATCCAGGAGCTGGCCCAGAGTCATCTCTCACCATCAATGAGCAGGTATCTTCTGGGACAGAAAGAGGTGGGGGAGTGAGGTTGATGAACCAAGGGGTGGGGGAAATAGGAAGACCCCATAAAGCCCCTCATTGTCTGTTTCTTTCTTTTTTTAAAAAAAATTTTTTTTAATATCTTTTATTGTTTTTTTACAGAGAGGAAGGGAGAGGGATAGAGAGTTAGAAATATCAATCAGCTGCCTCCTGCACACTCCCTACTGGGGATGTGCCCACAACCAAGTTACATGCCCTTGATGGGAATCGAACCTGGGACCCTTGAGTCCGCAGGCTGACGCTCTATCCACTGAGCCAAACCAGTCAGGGCTCATTGTCTGTTTCTTACCAAAGTAGATGGTCAGTTCACCTGACCAGGTTTAGTTACCAGGTAGGATTTCTCAGGGGCTTAATTTTGGAATGTAAGCCGTGACTTTATTATTTTTTTAAAATATATTTTTATTGATTTCAGAGAGGAAGGGAGAGGGAGAGAGAGAGATAGAAACATCAATGATAAGAGAGAATCACTGATCGGCTGCCACTTGCACACCCCCTACTGGGGATTGAGCCCAAAACCCAGGCATGTGCCCTCGACCAGAATTGAACCTGGGACCCTTCAGTCCACAGGCTGATGCTCTATCCACTGAGCCAAACTGGTTACAGGGGTTTTTTTATAGATTTTTTTTCCTTTTTTTTTAATTTTTATTATTATTAGTTAAGGTATTACAAATGTGTCCTCATCCCTCCCATTAACCCCCAACCTCCCCCCCATATAGATTTCTTTTTATTGATTTCAGAGAGAGGAAGGGGGAAGGAGAGAAACATCAATGATGAGAGAGAATCATTGATCAGCTGCCCCTTGCACATCCCCTACTGGAGATCAAGCCCACAACCCAGGAATTGAACCCCGACCTCCTGCTTCATGAGTCGATGCTCAACCACTGAGCCATTCCAGCCAGGCTAAGCTGTGATCTTAAAAAGTGAAATTAAAATGTACAAATATGTATAATCTTACATGGGGAAATATTTGGACATTGGGTAATTTGCTCTTATTTCTTACTTTTCCTGTGGTTTTTTTTCTCTCTTTTGTTTGCTTTTGTTTGGGGGGGGGGGGCGGTAATTTGCTCTTAATATTTTTTCTTGCTTATATATTTTTTCTAATTTTTCTACAATGACCATTTATTACTTATGTAAACTTAAAATGTTTTTTGTTAATTTTTATCTTTTTTAGAGAGAGAAAGGAAGAGGAAGGAAAGGAGAGAGAGAGAGAGAGAGAAAGAGAGAGAGAGAGAGAGAGAGAGAGAGAGAGAGAGAGAGAGAGAGAAACATGGATCAGTTGCCTCCTGCATGCACCCCGACCGGAGATCAAACCCACAACCTGGGTATGTGCCCTGACCAGGTACCAAACTGGTGACCTTTCAGTGCATGGGAAAATGCTCAACCAACTGAGCCACACTGGCCAGGGCACTGAAAAGGAGAACAAAGATGAATTTTTAAAAGGAGAAAAAAGATGAACAACTCCTAAAATGTAATTGAAGTCCCTCATAGGTCAAGTTTGAGTCAGAAAGGCAACCGCTTGGGGGTTAATTTCCCTCCAGCTCCCCTGATGGGTCGGTCACATTGTCACTTTTTCCGGCAGAGTCTCTGGCTGAGTCCAGTTTTCAGGCTTAAGGAGTGTGTTGTGTGAGTAGCTTCAGGCATAGGCCAAATGTAGGGGAGCTGGGCACAGAGCTTTTCCATGTACAGGGTCCCTGATTTTTGAATGGCCCAGTTGGAAGCCTTTGAGTGCTGGAGTTAGAGAGCTGAGAGCTGGTAGTTTGAGCAGGGGAAGAAGGTCCTGTTCTGAGGAGGCCCAGGCGCCTCCCGCCTTGCTGGGACATGGAGGCTCCCTTCAAGGTCAGAGCAGGCCCACAGCCGATGGCACAACTGCAGCCACAGGGCACGAGCTCCAGGCCAGGGGGGTGGGAGAGGCTCCGCCTTCAGGATGCAGGAAGTTAGCTTGTAGGAAAATCTTGGCCTTTGCCCCAGAGTTTTGGAAATAAAGGAATCACGAGCTGAAAAAGTGACTCAACACTGTGGAGCATTTGTTCCACTGCTTTATCTCTGGAGATTTAAAGGGACGTGAAGCGGGATTTGCTTCTTGGCCCAGCTTACGCAGTGGATGCTGTGTCAGGGGCCCTCATGGCCACACACCAGTATCCTAGCAGCCAAGGGAACATCCTTGCAAGGCTGTGGAATAGACTTTACCACGCCCCGAACTGAGTCCCAGAAAAGGACCGAGTAGAAATACCCTCCAGTGGTTTGGCTCCGTGGGCCGGGACGTTTCCAGCTGTGTCAGGCCCTGCCCCCTGTCCAGTCCCCAGGGCCTTTCTCCTAGCCCGCTCCTTCTCTGGATCGGGGAGCTGCAGCCTGCCCCAGGCTCTGGAGTTCTCACAGAGCACACAGTGCTTGGGGCAGGACGTCTACCCTTCCTCTCTCCCGAAATCATACCTAGAGCTCTGGGCACCCGGCAGGGGGGTCTCTATGGGCCCCTCCCCCACAGTGTTCCCTGTCCTCTGATCGCAGGTCATCGTGATGTCAGGCCACGAGACCATCCGCGTGCTGGAAGTTGGAGTGGATGCCCAGGTCCCCGCTGAGGAGGAGGGCAAAGGACTGGAGGGTGTGGCCGCCGAGGGCTGCCAGAGTGGAGGTCCTGCTGAAGCCAGTGAACCTGCTGGTGAAGCTGGGCCAGACAACCCAGACTCTTCCGCGGAGGCAACTGGTACGAGGCCATTGCTCCACCCTGGTCCCTGTCTGTAATTCCCGGGGGAGCCAGCACAAGTCCTTGGGGCCTAGGTGGCTTTAGGGTCTTGTCGTCTTCCTGTCCACTGGACAGCCTTGGGCCATGGCCTGTACTCCTTCCTGGTCAGCGTCTAGGGCTATTCTGCACTCCTTGTCCCTGGAGCTTTAGTTCTGGTTCCAGTCCCTTCCAGACCTAAACTGGGATGTTTCGGGGTGAGGTGGGTAGAGAGTGGCAGGGCTCGGCTGACGGGGTGTATAAACCTCAGAGAGGCTCCTAGTTCAAACCAGACCCTCAGCCCCAGTGCAGAGAGGACTAGACCTTCAGGATCCCACCAGCCCTTCCAACTCAGTACCTGCTGTGGAAAAGGTGGGAGGCCCCAGAAGCTGGGGCTGGGCGGGCATCTTACCTACCTTGGACTAAGGATGTAGTTAGGTAGGACCTTGAAGAATGCCAGCTCCTTACTCCCAGCTGGGCTGGTGTGAGTCAGCCTGGTGGACTGATTTCTGTTGTCCTCCAAAGATGACTTGAGGGCATGAGCTTGATTCTTCCCCGTGGAAATGGATGTGGCTGATCCACCCACTCTGTCTCCCCTAATGCCCTGCAGTAGAGCTGTTCTAGAGGCCGGGTCTGGTACCAGGCACTGCTCTCTGACCACAGGGCACCATTGCATTGGCTTTCCTCATTAACACCTTACAGAGCAGACATCTCCTGTTGCAGGAAGCCCGAGGCCTCCTTGCCAGTTTCCCCAGAACACCAGGACTCGTCTCCCCTTGTCTTCTGCGTGTCTTCCCTTCCCTAGATGGGAGACCTGGGCTGGTGGGTGTAGGCTAAGAGGGGTAGCCAAGAAGACAGCAAAGGAGAACAGACAGGCTTCGGGGAACAGCAACTCCTTAACAAGGAAACTGCAGGACCTCCCGTCCTGTGCTCTACCTGCAAAATAGAGCGCAGGTTCACTTGGGACCCTTGTAACTTGGCTTTCCCCCGCTTTTGAATAAAGAAATGACAAGAGACATGACCCTTTCCCCCTGGCCTGGAAATGCTCTGCTTCCGTGTTGAGCCCAGGATGGGGCATTACCCGTGTTCCCATGGACCCATGCCCTGGAGAGCAGGCAGGGAAGGCAAGGATCCGTTGCCTCAGCCACCCTGCCCATCCCTTTCCATTGTGGGGTTGGAGCCCTTTTCAGAAAACTTGGGAGGTTTCCCAAGTTTATCCACAGTGCCCTGACTTCCCTTTTTATCCTTTTAATGAAATCCCATATCTCATTTCTTCTGGTGTCTTAATCTGCCCCTTATCCAAACCTGCTCTCAGAAATAGATCCTGAGCCAATTATTTGCACCTGAGCATGAGTGTCAGTGGCAGTGTGCATCTTCTTTCAGAGGTTGGTATACTAAGCCTTTCACAAAATTTTTCTCGGTAAAGGAATTTGAATCATTGTCAAGCAGATAAGGGAGGTATTTTGATGCTGCTCCCTAAGAAGCTGCCGGCATGGATTGTGGTCTTAATGTGACCTTGCTAGATATTAAGCATTTCTTCTTAAAACAAAACGAAGTACTGGCCGGCGTGGCTCGGTGCTTGGGCGTCGACCTGCGAGCCAGGAGCTCACAGTTCCATTTCCCGTCAGAGCATATGCCCGGTCGCAGTTCAATCCCCAGGGTGGGTGTTAGGGGGCAGCCAACCATTGATTCTCTCTCATCATTGATGTTTCTATCTCTCTCTCCCTCTTCCTTCCTCTCTGAAATCAATAAAAATATATTAAACAAAAACAAAGTAATAGGAAACTTTTTCAGGGTGGAGAAAAATCTAGTGATTTATGGCAGTCTAAATTACTACCCAGTCCTTGTCACACATACACGACCACCGAGCTATGTAGCATAGCTCTGACCACTGGATTATTTCAGATACCTTTTTCCTTTATTGACATAGATTCACAAACCTGTTCTGGTTTTGACTATTGTCAAACTATCTGGTTTTTTATTATCATAACCAGTGCTGTTTTGAATATCTTTGTACTGGTCTTTTGAATTTTTTTTTCTTTGAGGTATAGTCCACCCAAATTCTTTTGGAAGAGAAATCAATTGTTTATATAAGGAGAAGTCATCACATGAAAAAATACAAGCTCTTGCTATCAATGAGAGAAAACGTAACTGGCTGTAAGGTACTACATGCCTGTTAAGCCAGAAAACTCAGCAGTGATAAAAGCTAACCTGGGTGATGCTGTAGAGACAAGGGACATGGTTGATGTTTCTGTGAACTGGTTTAGTCTTTCTGAAAAGCAGTGTAGCCGGAAGTGACAAAAGCCTAAATATGTGTACACTCTTGGAACTCTTGGTCCTACTTTGGAAATATATTCTAATTAAATGAATATCTCATTTCTTTGGGTGGTAAGCTTTATCACTCATGTTTATCATATTCCTATTTTCACTTTCCTTTTTATAATTCATTATATTTGTCAAGCAAAATGTTTTAAAATTTTCTCTTCTCTGATTTTTTTTTTTCCAGTAGTTGGAAACGCATCTCCCCTCTGCGGTGGAGTGAAATACTAAGTGTTTTCACTTAGTTTTTTTTTCCCCCCCCTTAGTATTTTATAAGGCTTTTGCTGCTTGCTTGTCTCTTTAATTCCTTAAGCAATCTGAATTTCTTTATTATGCACTTTGAACAGTACAGTCCTGAGTTAGATCGGTACCTTTCCAGATTAAAACGTGGGCTGGGAATGCGGGTATGGAAGGTTATCTAACTGCATGGTTCCCACTCTGGCTGTGCGCTGTATCACAAGGGAGCTTAAAGAAATAAGAGATTAAATAGTGCAAATTGCCAGTTAGGCACATAGTCACGGGATGTAAAGTCCAGCATAGGGAATATAGTCAATAATAATGTAATAACTGAGTATGATGTCAGAGGGGCACTAGACATCTAGGGGTGATTACTTCATAGGTTATAAAAGTGTCTAATCACTATGATATACACTTGAAACTAATATAATATTGAATGCCAACTATAGTTAAAAAATAAAAAATTAAAAGTAAGAAAAAGAGAGAGAAGAGGTTACTGGCCTCCACTCCAGACATTCTGATTCAGTAAATCCATGTCTAGCTACTATTAAGAGGCCATTGATCTGGTCTAATATCCATCGTCCAATACCTAGACTCCTTTTAATGTCTCGCCATCTATATATATAAAAGCCTAAGTGATTGGTTGACTGAATGACCAAACGACCGGTCGACCAGTTGCTATGATGCGCACTGACCACCAGGGGGCAGATGCTCAATGTAGGAGCTGCCCCCTGGTGGTCAGTGTGCTCCCACAGAGGGAGCGCCGCTCAGGTAAGCAATGGACACCAGATGCTGGGCTCACGGCTGGCGAGTGCCATTGCGGCTGTGTGAGCCTCTCCTGATCGGGACTGGGCACGAGCCCGCGGCAGGCGCAGTGGGGCCAGGATGAGCGAGAGCAGTGTGGCACCAGGCCCGGGCTTGGGTGCCTCCCCGACTGCCTACCACTTTGAGCACTACTACATCCCTCAGGGGAGGTTAGACTGCCGGTTTCAGCCTGATCCCCACAAGCTGCCTACGGGGATTGGGCCGAAACCGGCAGTCTGACCTCCCCCGAGGGGTCCCAGATTGCAAGAGGGCACAGGCCAGGCTGAGGGACACCACCAGTACACGAATCCATGCACTGGGCCTCTAGTATATGAAATAATAACCCTTTTCCTCGTGTGAATTCTGGTGGGGATTCCCAATACCTCACAAATCAGAGTAGCAAGAGGAAGCTGTAACCTGGAAGAAAGGCTTTGGTTCACGGGAGTTCCCTTAGAAACTCACTGAAGCTGCTCATCAGACGTCAGACCTCAGGGACTGGCAGAGAAAAGCAACCTGGCCTGGCCCTCGCCGGTTTTGCTCAGTGGATAGAACATCGGCCCTCGGACTGAAGGGTCCCGGTTTCGATTCTGATCAAGGGCACATGACTGGGTTGCGGGCTCTGTCCCTGGCCCTGGTCGGAGCGAATGTGGGAGACAACCAATCGATGTGTCTCTCTCACATCGATGTTTCTCTCTCTGTCTCTCCCCCCATCTTCCCACTCTCTCTAAAATTCAATGGAAAAATATCCTCTGGTGAGGATTAGCAAACAAACAAAAAAAGCTACCTGGCCTGGAGCGCCATTGTGATCCTGAGTGTGGCAAAGACATGTCCAATTTTCAGGGACTGTCATTTCAAGGACTTCATTCTGCAGAGTCCTTGTCCCTTCTCCAAGCCAGCACCTGCATCCAGAAAGAGCGATGGTCCAGTTGCTGGATGAGCCAGGGGCAGCTGCTCCCATTGATGCTATCTAGCTCCTTCCCGCCCAGACACATGTTTCTTCCCTTCAGACCCCTCGACTGATTGGATCAGGGGTCCTCAAACTACGGCCCGCGGGCCACATGCAAATACAAATGTTGTATTTGTTCCCGTTTTGTTTTTTTACTTCAAAATAAGATATGTGCAGTGTGCATAGGAATTTGTTCATAGTTTTTTTTTAAACTATAGTCCGGCCCTCCAACGGTCTTAGGGACAGTGAACTGGCCCCCCCTGTTTAAAAAGTTTGAAGACCCCTGGATTAGGTCATAGGTCACAGTGTTCTGTAGAGCCAGGAAATGAGAGATTGACACCTAGCTGTGCATAGGCCTGCATTTTCTTCATCTAAATGTGGGAAGAAGAGGGCCCACATGCTAGGTCTGGCACAGGGCTGGCCAGCCTCCTAGTCTCACTAACGGTAGCATTGGGGAAGCTGCCTTCTGGGCCAGGGAAAGCCAGTGATTGGTCTCGGGTTATGCGGAAATACGATGTGAGGCTGAGAGTTGCCACTTCAACTCTCCAGTGACCCCTCCGCTCACACCAGGCTCACCCTTTGTCCTTTCTCTCAATGCCACATGAAGTGAAGTCACTCCCGGGGATCCCTTCGAGTCCTGCCCCGGCTGTCGCCACTTTCAGCCAACCCCCAAGCCAGCCTCAGGCATCGCAGACCCTGACGCCGCTGGCTATACAAGCTGCCCCCCAGGTAAGAGCCACCCCTGGGAGCTGGACACAGAGCAGTGGGCAGAAGCAAGACATGGGACCACCACCATGGAGAGGCTATGGGATCTGGGAACTCCTGAGGCAGGACAGGGACGGGCTGTGACTTAAGAGAGGGAGTCCCCTACCTCTGGCCTCTCCCCTGCCCCAGATCAGGCCCACTGGGAAGTATAGATCTGCCTTTGCTGGGTAGTCTCCTTGGGTCCAGCAAGGATGGTAGAGGTTACGTTAACGCGTTCATGCCACAGGCCATTCTGTTTAATGCCTAAATGAGTGAATACCTTGTCCGTCCCTCCAGTGGCTGCCTGGAGAGTTAATGCATTGTTCACAGTCCTCATTTAGAGCCAGGGGGGCAGCCCCAGCACAGCGGCTGCCTCCAGGATCCTCCAGGCATGCTGACCTCCCTGTGACCTTTCGCTGTAGGCACAGATTTTTTGAGGCATCCGTCAAGGGTAGCCTCCATCAGAGCTTCTCAGAAGCTTCTGTGAGCCCTTGACCACTTGGTTCCATTAGCCCTTGCCCCCTGCTTTCTGGCCCCAAAGTGTTGGTCCTGTGGGCAAGGGCCCCGGGAGGGCTGGGGGAGCAGTCCAGGGGAAGAGGCCCGCGCACCCTCTGCTGTCCTGTGAGCAGGGCCAGGTCCTGACCTCGATTTGGGCCGCTGCTCTGAAGACGGGCACCCCACTCAAGGCTGAGCCTCCAGCTAGGGCTTGTCTCTTCCCCGCCCTCATGCGGCCTTTCCCCCACTGCCCTCAGAATGCTTTGTTTGTGCTCAGCTGAGCCAGAGAGACCCAGTGTTTGCACTGTCGATGTTGATTTTTTCTTTTCTTTTCTTTTTGAAATCTTGTTTGCTTTTGCAGGTCTTGACTCAGGAAAACTTAGCCACAGTTCTGACAGGAGTTATGGTTCCAGCAGGGGCAGTTACTCAACCTCTTCTTATCCCCATCAGTATTGCAGGTCAAGTGGCTGGTCAGCAGGGGCTGGCCGTGTGGACAATTCCTACAGCAACCGTGGCCGCCCTCCCAGGACTGACCGCTGCTTCTCCTACGGGGGGAATTTTCAAGCCACCTTTAGCCAGTCTCCAAGGTAACGGCAACTCTCCCCAGGACTGCACCAGGCCCCCCAACACCCACCACTACCATTCCTGCACGAGCGCTTGCCATGTTGGACTCAGAACCCGCAGCCCGCCCAGGGCGACAGCCCTGGAGTCTGGATCCGGTGTCCCGGGCACCCAGCCACAGAGCTGCAGCACCTCGGGACTCTAGGCCAGGACACCATCCGGCCTCTCTTACTTCAGCCAACTGTCTGAGACTGCCCCTCTCCCCCCACGCCAGAAGTCACCCCATGACCAGCCTCCTGAGAAGGACTGCAAGAAGATGCAACTTCTGGTTTTGAACCTGCACTTCTCCAGGCCCAAGGGAGGGGGGATGAGAGATGTGGCGTGTGCTGCCCCCAGCAAGGATCAAGGGAATCACAGCTGCCTGCCCCCCTTCCCCGCTGCCCCAGCCCCCTCTGTTCTTGTGCCAGATCCCTTGGGATTGGAGCTGCTCTGGGCCACGGCTAGGCATTTGAGCACCTCTGTCTCTGCCTTGCTCCATAGCAGCGGCCGTGCTGAACACCGCTCTGCCGGCACCCGTACAAGCCGCCCCACCGGTACAGGCCTCCTCGCCCGTCCAGCCCCGGCCACCAGCACAGGCCCAGACGCTGTTCCAGACCCCGCCACCGCCACCGCCGCTGCTGCAGAACACGCCCGCCATTCTACCGCAGCCCACTGCTGCCACCGCGACCGCCCCCACCCCCAAGCCAGTGGACACCCCCCCACAGATCACCCTACAGCCTGCCAGCTTCGCATTTAGCCCAGGAATCGTAAGCTGCTGCTGCCCTCACCCGGGGCTGATCAGGGCTGGATCGAGTCTTGGGCCCGGGTGGAACTGATGCGGGGAGGAAAGAGGTGGAGGACCAGGCCCCTGAATACGGCTCTTTTCCAACACATCAGCGGAGACGGGCTCCCTCTGAAGCCTTCTCCTTGCAGCTGCCAGCCTGTCCATCCCAGACAAGAGCAGACAACCTCTGCCAAGAGGGCTGGGCAAATTCTCCAGAACCTGAACCACTGGACCAGCCTTGGAGGGGGGGATGATGTCTGGGGATTGCAAACTTGTGAGCTGTCACTGAGGTGGAGCTAGAGGCTCACGGCCCCTTGCCAGTGTCTGTCCTGGCTTGGCAGTGGAGCTGATAGATGTGACTAGAATCACATCAGCCACTCCAGTCCGGCACTTCTACCCTCCCAGGCCTGGCCTGAAAGATTAGCCAGTGACTCTTCCGTGGCTTTGACCCCACCCTTCCTGGTTGACCCCCCGCCACTCCTAGTGCTGGATACTATTCAGCTGGTAGACATGGGCCTGTAGCCCACATTCCTAGCTGCCCCCCAGCCCGGCCTCCCCACCCCAGTGCCTGTGAGCCCTCTTCCCTCTGCCTTGGGCTTTTTCTGTCCCCTTGGTCTCTGAGCAAGGCTCTTCCTCCACCCACAGATCAGTGCTGCTTCCCTCGGGGGACAGGCCCAGATCCTGGGCTCCCTCACGACAACTCCGGTCATTGCCAACGCCATTCCCAGCATGCCAGGGATCAGCAGTCAGATCCTCACCAATGCTCAGGGACAGGCAAGTGGTCACAGCCAGGGCTGAGGGATGGGGGCTGTGGACAAGCTGGCGGGGGCACTAGGACTTGGGCTGAGGTTCATTGAAACTCAAACAGGGTGTCGGACTGCTGTTCCTATCTCGTGTGTGGCCGCTCCCTGCTGATCCTGAGAGCAGGCAGGGGCATAGCCACTGCCTTGCCCTGGAGGCACCCACTCTAGTGGAGGCGAACACCCACTTCATTTATGGAGTACCTACTTCGTGGCCTGTGCTAGGTGCTTTCTCATACACCATCTCACTTTGTTTTGAGTACAGATCTATTAGGGAGAGATTTTTATTCCCATTTTACAGGGACGAAAGCTGAGGTTCAGAGAAATTAAGCCACAGCTAAACTGTGGCAGAGCAGGTCCATCTGACTCCACACGCAGACCCGTTCCTGCTCCATCACAGCTCTGGAGGTAAAACAAAGGAAGCAGCCCCCAAACTGTGAATCCTTCACTTTATTGAGGAAGAAACGGAGGTCCACAGGGGTTAAGTGATTCATCTAAATGCCTCCCCTACCAGTGTGGGGTTTGGGTTGGAGGTGGAGCTGGACACTGGCCTCACACTTAGAGTCCCTGCCTTGCTTCCTCCCAGGTTATTGGAACACTTCCGTGGGTAGTGAACTCAGCTAGCGTGGCAGCACCAGCACCAGCCCAAAGCCTGCAGGTCCAGGCTGTGACTCCCCAGCTGCTGTTAAACGCCCAGGGCCAGGTGATTGCAACCCTGGCCAGCAACCCCCTGCCTCCACCTGTGGCTGTCCGGAAGCCAAGCACGCCTGAGTCCCCTGCTAAGAGTGAGGTACAAGGGCTGGGGTTGGGAATGGGGGCAGGCAGTGCTATCTGGCATGGGCTGCCTCTCTTCAGACCATGGGCAGGACAAGATTATTTTCTGAAGCCCCTGAGAAAGCAGGTACCTCCCCAAAGTTTGGGGAGGTCCAGGGTAGAAGGCTCACATGAGTCACTATGCTCTGCCCAGGGAACCCCCCGCCCCACGCTGACCCCCTACCCACACACACCAAAAACTTGTCCATGTACCCTCAGAAGCTAGTGCCATTCTGAGAAGGCCTGGGAGGAGTGGTCAAAGTGAACGGCCTTGATCAGCTCCAGGGTGAAAAAACTGCTAGAAATGCTCTGGGAGGCCAGTTCTGCATCCCCTCCCTCTTTCCCCTTCACCTCTCTCCCCCTCCACTCTGTAACTTTTTTTAAAAAAATATATTTTATTGATTTTTTACAGAGAGGAAGGGAGAGGGATAGAGAGTTAGAAACATCGACCAGCTGCCTCCTGCACACCTCCTACTGGGGATGTGCCCGCAACCAAGGTACATGCCCTTGACCGGAATCGAACCTGGGACCTTTCAGTCCACAGGCCGACGCTCTATCCACTGAGCCAAACTGGTTTGGCCACTCTGTAACTTTGATTATTCACTTATTCCTTCTAGGAGCAGTTTTTGAGTGCCTGCTATATTCCAGGTGCTGAAGATAGATGAATAAGCTGCTCTTCCTAGCCTTAGGGAGCATGGCACTGGGGACAAATACAAGGCAGCTTGACGAAGACTGTGATAGGGGCATGATAAGGGGACCCAAAGAAGGGAGCTCCCAACAGACTGGGGAGTTCAACAAGGCTTCGTAGAGAAGGGACATTGAGCTCATCTAACGGGATGACTTGAACGAGAGAGCATTTTATCTTTAGGAAACTGCAGGAAGTATAGTGTGCAGGGTTCGCAAACCTGAGTGAGTGTCAGAACCACCTGGGGGGCTTGTCCCTAGGCCCCGCTCCAGGCTTTCGTGTTCAGTGGGTCTGGATGGGGCCCAAGAATTCCTCTTTCTAACAGGTTCCCAGGTGTTGGGGCCCATGACCCTCCAAGGTGGGGTTCTGCTTCTCAGCTTTGTGAATAACCTCTTAGTCTCATCTGTAAAATGGAGATTATAAGAGGATCCACTGCAGAAGGTTATGAGTATTGAAGGACAGATTACACATAGGCAATTAACACAGGAAGCACTTGAAAAATGATGTTATCACTATTATTAGCTAGTGAGGGGTCATGGAGGGGTTTTTAGCGAGGAAATGGCAAACTAAATGTACGTTAAAAAATTTCCTCTGTTGCCAGAGGAGCCAAGAACTGGACCGTGGTGAGACGTGAGTCCTTGTCCCCTGTTAGGAGGCAGCTGAAACAGTTCTAGCAAGAGACCAGGACCCTGCCCTAAGGCTAAGGTTCAGAGAAGAAAGAGGCAGTGGACTTGAGAGCTACCAAGAGGTAGAATCCAGGGAACGGGACCCATCCTAGAGAAATTTGAACTTTTCAGGAGCTTTTTTTTTTTTTTCCGCTTAGCACCATGACTCTGAGCTTTTGCCATGTCAGTAGTTAAGAATTACACCTTACTCTTTTAATAGGGAGGTCCCGGATGTCACTTGCCGGTTCCCTATTAGTGGATGTTTGGGCTGGGAGGCTCTAAAAGCAGGTTAGGTTTCTCCTCTGAGGGCAGACATTTGAGAGCAGTCCTCAGGGTGGACACTTGCGGGGCTTTGACCAAGTGTATTGCCCTTTCTGAGCCTCTGACCTGCCTGTGTCACAGGCGGCCATGCGGCCCCCGCTGGGTGGAACGTGTTGCTGTGCTTACTTCGGAGGGCGTTATCATGGGGGGTGGTAATAAGTGGTTTCTAGTCTTGCTTTTTGATGGGGCCCAGGGAGGAGTGTGGACGTCATACCATTTTTGCCCCTGTCTCTGGCCCATGCAGGGACTCCGACCCCCTGAGCTGGGCAGGTAGGCAATAGGGGATTGTTGGCTCTCTTCTCATAGGTGCAGCCCATCCAGCCTACGCCAGCCGTGCCCCCGCCTACAGTGGTCATCGCCAGCCCAGGCCCAGCGGCCAAACCATCAGCCTCTGCTCCCATCCCAATTACCTGCTCAGAGACGCCCACTGTCAGCCAGTTGGTGTCCAGTAAGTGGCTCCTGAAGGAGGCTGTGGAAAATGGGAGAGGCATTTATTTAGACCCCCTGACATCTTTGAATGCTGTTCTTTTTATTTATTTATTTTAATATATTTTTTTATTGATTTCAGAGAGGAAGGGAGAAGGAGAGAGAGAGAAAAACATCGATGATGAGAGAGAATCATTGATTGGCTGCCTCCTGCACACCCCCTACTGGGGATTGAACTTATAACCCGGGCATGTGCCCTTGACTGGAATGGAACCCAGGACCCTTCAGTTTGCAGGCCGATGCTCTATCCCCTGAGCCAAACCAGCTAGGGCTGAATGCTGCCCTTCTGGATAAACTTCCTGGAGTCCAAAGGGGAAGGACAGGTGCCTGATGCCAGAGACTGGCTCTTATTCCTGTTAAGCTGGATTCTAGGCATGATGATAGTGGAGGCTGTTTCCCCACTGGCTGTCTCTCCAGTGATTCTTACCCAGTATTTGAGGAATGTGGATGGCCAACAGGTGTGCTTGGGGGCCAGGAGTAGGGGGGATGGGGAGGGTCGACAGTTAGAGCTGACAAACTTGAAACAAGACCCCGACCTCCGGACAGGGCCCTTTCCTCCATTATTTGTCTTGGGGACAAAGTAAATGAGGGTCTTAAGGGTGTGTGGGCCTTTTGCCAAATGTCCTCATCCCTCTGCACCAGGCCAGGCAATGGGCTAGATCAGCAGTGATGATTATGTGTCCTCTGCACTCACCCCTGCTCTCTTCTCTGGCCTAGAGCCACATAACCCAGGTCTGGATGAGGACGGGATCAACTTAGAAGAGATCCGGGAGTTTGCCAAGAACTTCAAGATCCGGCGGCTGTCTCTGGGCCTCACACAGACCCAGGTGGGCCAGGCTCTGACTGCGACGGAAGGCCCGGCCTACAGCCAGTCTGCCATCTGCCGGTGAGTAAGGCTCCCTGGGCCAGGTCAGGGCCTGCTCAGGGGCCTGCTGCCGCCAGGAATTCACAGGACCTGGTGCCCCCTTTATTCTCCCTTGCTCCTGCCTTCTTCCAAATAAGGAAGGCTGCTTTAAGGATAAGATATGAATACCCGTAGTAGCCAAAGACTGACCAGGTCCTCTGATGTTTATCCTCCAATCCTGAGCACATAGTCTTCATATATATATATATATATATTTCAGAGAGGAAGGGAGAGGGAGGGAGGGAGAGACAGAAACATCAATGATGAGAGAGAATCATTGATCGGCTGCCTCCTGCATGCCCTCTACTTGGGATTGAGCCTGCTACCCAGGCATGTGCCTTTGACTGGAATCAAACCTGGGACCCTTCATTCTGCAGGCCAACACTCTATCCACTGAGCCAAACCAATTAGGGCAAGCAGATAGTCTTTTTCTGGGAACCCAAGACCCTAATCCATTAGGAATCCTAGAGGGAAAGGAGTACAGCTTATGAAATTAGTCACAAAGGTGGGAACTTCAGTTCTGGATTAGCTCTCAACTCTATCCCACCATCATCACCCTGTCATGCTCTCCTCTCCCCGTTTCATAAGGCATGACCCTAAAGTGGTGTGGCTGGCTTCTGCGTGCAGCGTCTAAGCCGGTTCCGGTGCCAGTATCATAGGGGGGGTAGTAGCGGGTTTCCAACAAGAATGAGGCTCAGTATGGCCACAAGGTTCCATCTGCCTTCCAATTCCATATGCAGACTAGAGAGACGTTAGACTCGCTGCTGTGTTGGGAAGTCTGCAGTCACATCGGGCTCTGACTTAGTGAAGCTGCTAGGAGAGGGTAACTAGAGGAGGGCAGTGCTCATGATGTCCCCTGCCCTGTCGGGAAACCTCTCAAGATAGCACCTCAAAGGACCTCACTCCTCTGGTGGTGAAAGTTCTAGAGTGGTTGTCCAGGCAGCAGTTACACTGTTACCCTGCACTACTGAGCCGAGGCCATGGGGCGGTCCCTCCGTCATGGCCCGGGACACAGGACAGTCCGAGAAGTCTGGGTTTCCCAAGCCGTAGGGGTCTTGGTGGGGGTGGTGAGGAGCAGAGTGCCCACACCCAGGTGTGGGGGGTAAGACGCTCTCACTGTCCCTTCCTGGGCTTGGGTCACCTACAGGTTCGAGAAGCTGGACATCACCCCGAAGAGCGCCCAGAAGCTGAAGCCGGTGCTGGAGAAGTGGCTGAATGAAGCCGAGCTCCGGAACCAGGAAGGCCAGCAGAACCTGATGGAGTTTGTGGGCGGGGAGCCCTCCAAGAAACGCAAACGCCGCACCTCCTTCACCCCCCAGGCCATCGTGGCTCTCAACGCCTACTTCGAGAAGAACCCACTGCCCACTGGCCAGGAGATCACCGAGATTGCTAAGGAGCTCAATTATGACCGGGAGGTCGTGCGGGTCTGGTTCTGCAACCGGCGCCAGACCCTCAAGAACACCAGCAAGCTGAACGTCTTTCAGATCCCTTAGGGCTCGGCCCCCCGCCCTGCGTTCCAGCACTTTGTACTTGCCCCTTGGCACCGGGCTGTGACAGCACCGTCATTCTGGTACCTGTGGCTGTGCTCGAGACCCATCTCGAGACTCCACCGTGTGCATGCCCGTCAGCTGCCTCCCTCCTGTCCCCCACATATTGCACATGGTGGGGAGGGCAGAGGGGCCCACTAGAGCACCAGGCCCCGGGCTGGTCAGGCCGAGGGAGGGGATTTGTGGTGTCACTTAAAGAAGCACTTTGCTCGCGGTTTTTGAAGGGTGAGTTCTGGTTGGGAACCAGAAAATCCCCGTCGTCGGGGCAGGGCTGCAGCAGCCCCTAAAGACTGGCCATGAGCTCTTGTTTTCGACGGCTCCTCTTTCCACCCTCTCTTCTTCGCTCCTCTGTGTAGTGTGGCAGGTATGGCAGCTCATCCAATAGAACCACAGCCTCGCCCCTTTGCCTGCAGGCAACACTATGCCCTGAAAGGACTCAAGAGACACAACTCTGAAAAGTGTGATGTGCTGCTCAGGTCAGACTCAGTGTCTGCCTTGACCTCAAAGTCAGGAGATTCCACAGCTCTGGGGCCAGAATCGGTCACCTGCTCTCCCACCCTCCCTGGTTCTCTGGAGGAAAATTGCACTAAAGCAGAACCTTTTCTTTTGTAATCCATGTTGGAAGGAAACATCAGTGAGCTCTAGCTGTTGTGGAGCTGACCTAGGCCTGTGGCAGGTCGGGAACTTAGTAAATAAGGCCATTCTTCCAGATTGTAATCCAATCTCTGCCCAGGACCATCTCCCTCACCCTCCACCCCCTTAAAAAAAACAAACAGTTCAGAGAACGTGCAGCCTGGAAAATCCCCTTCCCGAGTAAGCAGGCACTTTGGAGGAAAACGAGGAAAGAAATACTGACCCTCTTGTCCTCACATTCTTTCCCAACCCAAGACATGTCTCAGAAGGGGCAAACGAAACAATAAGCCAGACCACAAGGCCTGGGGGAGAGGCCAGCACCCAGCCCAGAGAAGTCTCTTGTGGAAGGTGACTTAACTCTAATTTTCTCTGTAGCTTTAAGCCTTGGGTACTGGATGAGAAACCTTATTTTGTCCCGCGTCTTAGACCCTGCGTTTGTGTAGGAAATCTCCCCAGTACTCCGCTGAACCAAGAATATCCCTGGAACAGGAGGGGTTTTGCCTCTAGAGAGGGTAACTACGGCACATTGGGGGTTGGCACCTCATCCGAGCTCCTGGGTTTCCCAGCCTCACTGTGGCTGGACAACCCCTGGAACTCAGCCTGTGACTCCAGGAAGTCAAGAGAGCACCAAGAGGTTTGCGTAGATGAGCCCAGCCTTGCTGTATAGAGCATCCCTAAAGGGCCACAAGCCACGGGGGTCAGCCACCCCCTCTCTTCGCTACGCTTGTCCTTACAAAGCCAGGTCTCTAGCAGCTGCCTTCCCCTGCACCTCGCATGGTACCCCTGAGAAAGTGACTGCCCGCAAGAACACATCTCCAGCTCTGCCGGTCACTGGCAGCCACCTCCTAGCCTGGCCTTCACCCGCATGCTGTTTCCTTTCCTGCCTGCAACGGGTCCCTCCCAGGCCCTGCAGTGCCAGCGGGGCCACCCTCTTGGTAGCCCTGCCAGGGGGAAGACAGTTGTGTGTCAAATTGCCACACGTACACACACACTCCCGCCCCGCTGCATTGGGACCAACAGGCCTGCCAGAGTGAGGAAGCTGGTGGGCATCCTGCCCGCCCCAGTTTCCCAAGAAAAAAATGTCTCCAAGGGGAGGCTCCACACTCAAGGTCAAGGTTATCAACCTGTCTCGGTGAGAAGAAGGGAGGAGGATTGTAAACACGTTTTCAGTACGAGTTAAAGTACTGGATGGAGTTTAAGGATTCGGTGACTTACACATCAATAAATTGGAGCGGCAGTTTTCAACCCTTTTCATCTCATGGCACACATAAATGGATCACTGTCATTCTGCAGCACACCCAAAAATACATTTTTTGCCAATCTGACAAAAAAGTAGGTATACTTTTGATTCGGTCACACCGATGGCTATTGTTCTGTGTTGCCTGTTGTCATTTTTAAATTTGACAATCTAAGGGAAAGGAGGTCAGTGCCCCTGACCAAATAGTCAAGTATTGCATGTTTAAAAAATGTCTGTGGCCCACCGGTTGGAACTCTCTGAATGAGAGAGCAACAGGTTTTCACCCTCAAACACTTGCGTTCAGATATGCTTCCTTCCAGGTGGGTCATGGTGGGAACCCTGGGAGTCGCATATAATCCAGGCTGTGCCCAGGGCAGTGGCTCTGCAGGACACCATCTGTCTGGTGTTAGGGCAGGAAAAGGATCATGAACTGCTGCTGGTCTACATTAGGCCGGGCCTTGCTTTCTCAGCTCCTCCCTCGTCTAAATCCGTCTTCCAGAGGCTGAGGTAGAGCTGAACCGTTTTCTCCTCTACAAGAAGAATGGGTGGGTCTTTCTGAGGAACAATACCAGGGTCGGAATATTTGCAGGCGGAATTCCCCAGGCAGGAGGGTGTGGGTGTCCCTGAAATATGCGCAAAGCAGAGCTTATGGCCTGCAATCTCTCCTGCTTCCCCACTGTAGGCTGCCACCACCCCCACCCCAACCCCTACCCCCACCTCCCGCCACCACCCCCACCCCAACCCCTACCCCCACCCCTGCCTCCACCCCCCACCCTGGGAAGCAGCTGTGGCCCTGAGGTGGGTTTTCTGTTTTGTTTTTGGTAGCATCAGACTCTAAAGGAGTTGATATAAATTTGTCTTGAAAGCACCTTTCTGGACTTAAAGCCAGAGCTCAAAGGCAGGAGAAAGGGCAGAACACGTTTTACCGTCTGCTTGTGGTTTCGTTTGTTTTTGTTTTGAATGAAAGAAAGACCAGAACTTTCTATGGCCTGGTGAACTAGCTGAGGCCTTTGCCCCTGTGCTATGCATGGTATTTTATCCCGGCGTGGTCCAGGGACAGAATTTGGCCAAACAGATGGAGGAACTCACTTGAATTTGGAATGGGAGTCCCTGGTGTTTTTGTGTCCTTGGCAATCCAGTCATCTTCCTACGCCTGGATTCCCCTCCTGTCTCCCAGGCCAGGCTCTGACGCGGAGGTTCTGACTGTCCCCCGACATGGGGCACCGCCTGCTGAGGGCTGGAGTGAGGGCTGGGGAGGGAGAAACACTGGCTGTAGTTGTGTAGAATAAACAGTATTTTTCTTTTGTACGGGTCTGCTTGTTTCTCCTTCACCTCTCCGGGCGGGGATATGAGGGCGCTCCTGTCAGAGGCCCGGGAAGCATCAGTGAGCTGCCCTGTGGTCAGAGCGTATGGCCTGGAAAATGCCATTGCGAGAGGGTGAAGGTCGGTGCTCTGGACTCCCACTTCAGAAGGCCCTGGCCCTCCAGCCACGACCCTGCCCATGGGGTGCAGGGTCAAGGGGATGTGCCCTTTGTCTTTCTAGACAGTCCTCCTGGTCCCTAGGACCCCAGAGTACCTTGCCAAGCCCGCTTTCCAGCCCCTTTTCTCTGGGTTCTGACAACAGACCTGTTGGTGTGCATACTCAAGAAGTGACCAAGGGACAGCTGCTTGTCAGAGATCTGGGTGGACGGAGCTTGAATATGCAGGCCAGAGTGTCTAAACGTATACGCAGTGTGAGACGGGGCTGCAAGGGGGAAGAGGAAGCAGGCCATAGGCTGGGGGCCAGGGCTAGAGAATATTCTAGCACAAAACTTCAAGGACTCTTCGAAGTTTAAATTCAAACCCAGTCTTTCGGGTCATCTTTTAAAAATATTTTTTTATTGATTTCAGAGATGAAGGGGGAGAGAGAGAGAGAGAAAGAGAGAGAGAGAGAGAGAAACATCAATGAAGAGAGAGATTATTGATTGGCTGCCTTCTGCACACCCCACACTAGGGATCGAGCCCACAACTCGGGCATGTGCCCTGACCTGGAATCGAACCAGGAACTGGTTCATAGGTCAATGCTCAACCATTGAGCCGTACTGGCCAGACCTTGTAGGTCATTTTGAAGGTCTGTTTATCAACATGAGCTGCTAGAGCATTCATGATTAGGTTGGTTTGCCCTTTATAAAATTTAGATATATGGTATGTGGACCTTTATTTGTGCTCTTCCTCAGGCCTGCAAATGCTAGGCTGGGCCTGATACTTGAGCTTAGAGCTGGAAGAGCACAGCTATAGTGAAGGGTTCTCTCTTGGCTTGTCTAACTCCTAGGAGTAGGTTTATGCCATGCCCCCTGCAGCCTTCCCACTTCCCCCTCTACCCACCTGGTATGGATGAGGTCTGGGCTACATAATCTAAATTTGGTGAAAGCAAGGCATCACCTTTGATTCTGACCCAACCAGAATTTTTGAGCCAGGCACTATGCTGGGTTCTAGATCATGCTCCATCACCCCACCTCTACCCAAGGGACAAGCGATGTCTAAGATTCTGATGTAAGGCTTCAGGATCAGCCCTAGCTGGCTTGGCTCAGTGAACAGAGCGTCGGCCTGTGGACTGAAAGGTCCCAGGTTCGATTCCGGGCATGTACCTTGGTTGCGGACACATCCCCAGTAGGAGGTGTGCAGGAAGCAACTGATCAATGTTTCTCTCTCATCGATGTTGCTAACTCTCTATCCCTCTCTCTTCCTCTCTGTAAAAAAACAATAAAGTATTAAAAAAAAAAAAAAAGACTTAAGGATCAGAGGAACTGTGAAATAATGGGGCAAAAAATTAAATAGAAGCCAGCACTTACCTCTGCACAGATCTCACAACCCTAATACTAGCTGTCCCTCCTGGTACGTAGGACCCCAGACTAGTCAGTGACTTCACACTAGTCTGTGACTCCTCAGTGCCCAGGCCAGGGGCACACAGTAGGTGCTTGGCAAATTTCAGACAGATGACTGAATGTATCTCCTTTTCTCTCCTTCAAGGAAATGATAAGAGCAGAGACCCTGACTTCAGGTTCCTGGGAGAAAGCAGGGAGAAAGAATTCTGCTTAGCTATACAGGGTTCAGGCTGGGATATGTGGGAGTGAATGGAATCTGAGTGGCAACGGACCCTGACTGGAGAGAGGCAGCTGCCATCGGAAGAATCAGTGAAAGCTGATACCTCTGGCTCAGACCTGTCAAGTGTAGTTCCTGGCAGTCGGCCCCGGAAGGTTTTAAAGCAGCGGGTTTGTGGAGAAGCTGTAGTTTCTATTCCCAGGTCTGTCTAGGGTGTCCTTTGGGTTTCTGGCCCCAGTTCCAAAGTGTGTGTGTGTGTGTGTGTGTGTGTGTGTGTGTGTAGCTTCCCACGCCAACATGCAAGTCTCAGACACCAGCAGGGTGTCCAAGAATTCAATTCAATTCTGACACTATCTACTGGGAGATAGCATTAGATTCCACAGATAAATGTCTCAGTTCCATAAGACCACCCTCCGCTTCAGATACCAGTCCCCTCCCCTGACATCCAGGGGTGAGACTAAAAGTTCCAACCCTCTATTCACAGGTGGTTCTCCTTGCAACCAGCCCCCAGCCTTGGATTCTTTCCAAAAGTCACATCATTAACATAAGCCTACTTGTGGTAGTTGCGGTGGAAAGGGGCTTGTTATGAAAGCAAGACCCATTTCACTTTTATGGCTCTGATGGTTTTCAAGAACGGAGGCCAAACAGTATAACAAAGGATGCTCCCAATGCTCGCAGGCTCAGAAATTCCGAGGACTTGGGGAACTGTGAACCAGGAACTGTGGACAGAGACAAAGCATAGATGAGGCATGTATTTTGGTCATTCAATTGACCCAATATGTACGTTGGCAGCAGTAATGGCACGAGGTGTTAGACCAGTGGAGTCAGACTGAACCTCCGTTCAGCAATCTCAGCACTTGAGTCCTGGCTAAGAAAGAATTCAGAGCCAAGACTCAAACTGAAAGAGCAAGTTTATGTCGCAGAGGTAGAAGAAATCAGTTCAAGAAACAAGTTACAGAGGGGGGGAAAAAAAAAAGGTTGTGGGGGAGGTGGCCAGGGCTTGGAGCTTCAGAGACAAGGAAAATGTCCCCAAGGGAAGGGGGATGGAAAGGCAGGGGTATGCTCTACAGAGAGCTGCACTGGGTCCTCAGTCTTTTAATTTTTTTTTTTTTTTAGTATTTTTATTCATTTCTGAGAGAAAGGGAGAGGGAGAGAGAGACAGAGACATCAATGACAAGAGAGAATCATTGATAGGCTGCCTTCTGCATGCCCCCTACTGGGGATCGAGCCTGCAACCAGGGTATGTGCCCTGACTGGGAATAGAACCCTGACCTCCTGCTTCATTGGTCAATGCTCAACCACTGAGCCACACTGGCCGGGCTGGGTCCTCAGTCTTGAGGTTATTTAACTGGAGGTCTCAGGGAAGGATCCCAAGAGAATATTCATCAGCTTTCTAGGTGTGTCCTTTCAGGGTCATGGTCTCTACTGATTGGCCAATGCCAGGGCAGGAAGTCATTAGTCAATGTAGCTGGTCCTAATGCCAAGCCATGGTGTCACTTCTCTGTTTTTTCTGGGCCTGGAGCTGAAACACGACTGAGGCCTAGATGTATTTGATGTGGGTCAGTCAGAACCTCATTGTCTTGGAGGCTTAAGAGCTATTCTCCTCGAAGGGCTGGGGGTCTAACCCAGCCGCGGGCAAACTACGCCCCGCGGGCCGGATCCGGCCCGTTTGAAATGAATAAAACTAAAAAAAAAAAAAAAAAAAAAAAAAAAAAAAAAGACATACCCTTTTATGTAATGACTAGAGGCCCGGTGCAGAAAAATTTGTGCACTCGGGGGGGAGGGGGAGTCCCTCAGCCCGGCCTGTGCCCTCTCGCAGTCTGGGAACCCTTGGGAGATAACGACCTGCTGGCTTAGGCCTGCTCCCGGGTGGCAGAGGGCAGGCCCAATCCCTAGGTGCAGCCCCTGGTCGGGCTCAGAGCAGGGCCGATTGGGGAATTGGGGCGCTGCCCCCTGTCATGCACAGAGCAGGGCGGATTGGGAGGTTGCGATGCCACCCTCAATCACGCTCAGGGTAGGGCCGATTGGGGGGTAGGGGCACCGCCCCCTGTCACACTCAAGGCAGGGTCGATGGGGAGGTTGCGGTGCCACCCCGTCACGTACAGAGCAGGGCCAATCGGGGTTGGGGCGCTGCCCCCTGTCACGCACAGAGCAGGGTCGATCAGGGGGTTGGAGAGCTCCCCCGTGTCACACACAGAGCAGGGTGGATCAGGGGGTTGGGGCGCTGCCACTGTCACACTCAGGGCAGGGCCAATGGGGAGGTTATGGCTCTACCCCATCACACACAGAGCAGGGCCCGTGGGGTGGGGGGGTTGGGGTGCCGCACCCTGTCACACACAGAGCCGCAGGGCGATCAGGAGGTTGGGGAGCTCCCCCGTATCAGGCACAGAGCAGGGCCGATCAGGGGGTTGGGGCGCCTTCCCCTGTCAGGAACAGAGCAGGGCCTATAGGGAGGTTGTGGCCCCGCCCCCTGTCACACACAGAGCCGCAGGGTGATCAGGGGGTTTGGGCCCTGCCCCCTGTCATGCTGATCCCGGTGCCGGGAGACCTTGCGGCTCTGCTGATCCCGGTGCTGGGAGGCATATTACCCTTTTACTATATAGAATAGAGGCCTGGTGCATGGGTGGGGGCTGGCTGGTTTGCCCTGAAGGGTGTCCCGGATCAGGGTGGGGGTCCCCACTGGGGTGCCTGGCCAGCCTGGGTGAGGGGATGATGGCTGTTTGCAGCTGGTCACACACCCTTCAGGGTGGGGGTCCCCACTGGGGTGCCTGGCCAGTCTGGGTGAGGGGCTGAGGGCTGTTTTCAGGCTGGGACTGAAGCTCCCAACTGCTCCTTTTTTTCTTTTTTATTCTGAGCCAGCTTTAGCTCTGAGGCTCCAGCTCTTAGGCCTCCGCTCCTGAAAGCAGGTATCTGGTTGTTTCGGTTCTACAATCGAAACTCTGTATCAACTCCAGGTCTGAGATCCCAGCTAGCTGAAAGCTGGTTTCTGAGGTTTTGTTTAGCTTCTATTTTTGTAACTATGTTTCAAACTGCCAGCTCAGAGGCCTGCAGCAGCAGGCGGGGAACGTTGGAGTCCTCCGTCACTGAAGCAAGCAAGCCTCATGTTAGTTTCAAGCTGCCTGGCTGCCGGCCGCCATCTTGGCTGACAGTTAATTTGCATATCGCCCTGATTAGCCAATGGGAAGGGTAGCGGTCGTACGCCAATTACCATGTTTCTCTTTTATTAGATAGGATGTTTACTTTGAATTTATATTAGTTCACACAAACACTCCATCCATGCTTTTGTTCCGGCCCTCCAGTCCAGTTTAAGAACCCATTGTGGCCCTCGAGTCAAAAAGTTTCCCCACCCCTGGCTAACCCATATGACCAGCAACATGCCAGGCAGGAAAGGTCAGGGGAGGATACAAACTGCATGACCAGTGAGATGAAAGGTCAGCGGGTCTAAACTGCATGGCCACCTATATGCTAGGGGAGAAAAGGTTACCCTGAGGGTGAGGTCCTTGTTTTCCCAGCTTTGCCCATTGCTAGACACCTGGACCTTCTGCAACCTGGCCCATCATTCTTGCTCTGCTCATATCTGTCTAACTGCCTACCACATGTGTAAAAAAAACTTCACCCTGGCTGGTGTGGCTCAATCATTAGAGTGCGGGCCCTCACAACAAAGGGTCTCAGATTTGATCCTTGATCAAGGGCACATACCTGGGTTGCAGGTTCCATTCCAGGCCCCAATCTCAATCTCTCTCTCGCTCTCGCTCTCTTCTCTCCCTACTCACCCTCCCACTCTCTCTAAAAATCATATTCTCAGGTGAGGATTAACAAAAACAAAACAAAACTTTCAACCAAGTAAATTTGAAGATTTCATTGGCTTTATTCAGTGATTCACAATTGAGCAACATCCCATCTAGCACCTAGAAGGGCGTTCCCAGGGGTTATACAAAATAGAGGGATTTTATAGAAGATGGATTTATTAGGGAAAGAAAAGATGATTATTTGGGGGCCAGAACATCTATATATATTTAACTGATTTCAGAGAGGAAGGGAGAGGGAGAGAGATAGAAACATCGATGATGAGAGAATCATTGATTGGCTGCCTCCTGCATGCCCCCTACTGGAGATCAAGCCCGGAACCCAAGCATGTGCCCTTGACTAGAATAGAACTGGGGACCCTTCAGCCAGCCTATGCTCTATCCACTGAGACAAACCGGCCAGGGCCAGAACATCTTTTCTTTAGGGGTAGGAAAGTGGAAGGATTTTTATTATGTAGATTGTCTTGCTACTTCTTTCTACTTACTGGTTAATTAGTCATATTTATTCGGTGCTTGATCAGAAAATTCCAGCCTCATTAAGGTTAATTAAGATTACATTTCTGGGAGAGGTTAAAACTGCAATTAGATCAGGTATTAAATCTAGGTTTGGCATCATGGGCTTTTAGCACTAATAATGCCATTTTGGGCCTGCAGTTTTCTTTTTAACATATATATTTCTTATAAATCACAATATCACAGATGTCCAATGTGCTGTGGCTGGCTGTGAAGGAGGAACTGACCTTTTAAGAACTAGAGAAGATGTGGACTGATTTCTGGACTGGAGATGAGAATTGAAGGGAACCTGCGGTTGCTTGAAACTTCATGGGCGTGAACGTGGGTGTGAAAAGTTTTGATTTCCTTTTCTCTCAACTGCAGGGTCTTTCAAGAAAGACAGACTGGGCCTCACAGGCTGTCTGTGTGGGATGTAAGAAGATGTAAAGAGTTAAAGCTAGCCCGGCTGGCATGGCTCATTGGTTGAGTGTCGACCTCTGAACCTGGAGGTCACAGTTTGATTCCTGGTCAGGGCACATGCCAGGGTTCTGGGCTCGATCCCCAGTAGGGGGCGTGCAGGAGGCAGCCAATCGATAAGTCTTTCTCATCATTGATGTTTCTATCTCTCTCCCCCTCTCCTTTCCTCTCTGAAATAAAAAACATTAAAAAAAAAAAAAAAGAGTTAACGCTAGATGGTCAGTCCCTCAAAAAAGCCTGCCTGGCTAATGGTTTCTTCTTATACCTGGAAGAAAATGCCCAGGAACTCAGCAACAGTGACTGACTTCAGTTAATGAGTAAGAAGGGAAGCCTGGGGTGCTGATCCAGGGAGCGTGAGTCTCAAACCTCTGAGAAAATTGACCTGTCTTACGAGGTAGGCAGGACAGGTCCCCTTTTTGTCAATCATAATAATAGCTACCCTCCACTTAGCACTGACTATGCACTAGGCACTCTTCTAAGCTTTTAACGTGCATTATTTCCATTAATTCTCACTGGATTTTACAAAGTAATATTATACCCATTTTACAGATAAGAAATTGAGGCACAGAAGAAATGAGAAACTACTCAAGGTTGCTTTGCTTGTGAGCAGCAGAATCTTGAACCCAAATGGGCTATTTCTAAAGCCTGTGTGCTTACCCTTACCCCATACAGCAGTGGTTCTCAACCTTCTGGCCCTTTAAATACAGTTCCTCATGTTGTGACCCAATCATAAAATTATTTTCATTGCTACTTCATAACTGTAATATTGCTACTGTTATGAATCGTAATGTAAATATCTGATATGCAGGATGGTCTTAGGCGACCCCTGTGAAAGGGTCGTTCGACCGCCAAAGGGGTCGCGACCCACAGGTTGAGAACCGCTGCCATACAGGGTGGCACCTGGAGATTGTTGTCTGCCCTTACCTTTTTTTATAGGATTTCCACAGACTCCCACACACCAGGGTAAAGCCTGCTTTGTTCCATCTGAATAGTCTAGCTAGTTTCAGGACCTCACCTAGGGAAAAGAACCCTTCACAGTGAGCCTTAACTTCACCCCAGGGCCTAGAATAAGGATTGTGGCGCTCTGTGCCTCAGGTGCTCTGGTTACTTAGTCATATTTATTCCGTCTAACAGGAGCCATGATTTTTGTGGCGGGATGAATTTATGGGGACAAAAATTTGGTTTATTGATAGGTGTTGCTGGATTTCCAGGGGGACACTGGTGACCTTCTGTTGGAGGCAGAGCTGCCAGGGTAGCCCCTGGATTCCTTGTTTCCGGCCATGGCACTCGGATTTCACTCTTAGTGACTGACAGTGGGGAAGGGCGAGGAAGGGAAAAGTCCCCTCCTCCCAGTCACAGAATTCCACGGCTCTTCTCCCCTCGTGGGGAAGGGGGCTCAAGGACATACATCTCAAGGCTGATGGCTGCATTCCGATTGGGATGGGCAAAGGTTTAGGAGTCCCCTTTCATTTCACCACCTCAGTTTATTTTAGAATCAATTTAGAATTAAGGTAAAGAAAACCTGTGTGAAGTCTTAATTCTGGTTCAGACTTTAAACACAGGCTCAAACATTCCTGAGAAGTTCATGCCTGTCTTTTTCTAAATATTTCCCAGAGGACAGGGCTCCATGTCTAGATATGGCAGTTCCCTAGTTACTGGAAAGGGGACCTAGCCCTGAACCGGTCAGCCTAGGGCCAGTCGGCAGTGTGTGTGTGTGTGTGTGTGTGTGTGTGTGGAGGGGGGGTCTTACCTTTGTGCAGGAAAAACTTTACAGCACGAGTCCAGGTGAATTTTAGAGAACATTTATTAAACCGGGGGACAGTGAAACAAGCAAGGACTGGGGGAAGGTCGAAGAGAGGACGCCCGTCCAGGGAAGTGGGATTTCAGCAGAGTCTGGACCTCCAGAGAGCCGGGTTTAAGGGGAGAGCATTCCAGGGGCAAAGGAGCGCACGTCAGTAGAGTCTGGGAAACAGCCCGGTCCTCCAGGCGGCGGGTGGAGCCGGTAGGACTAGGACGAAGGCCCCACCCACGCCCTGCGCAGCGGGGTCGGGTTTGGTACCTAGCGGTTCCGGAACGCAGGTAGCCAAAGGGAGGCACGTTTAAACCGAGACACCTGACGCACGCCCGGGCCCCTCCCGATTAGCCCCGCCCACTTCGGGGCGGGAAGCCGTGGGTAGCTGGCCTATCATCACTGCCGAGGCCAGCGAAGTCTCTTTTTCATTGGTGAGCGGTAGGGTGACGTCATGTCCCCCCGGCTCGGCAAAGGAAGAGGGCGCCATGATGATTGGCTGGCGCTGGGGCGGTGGGCGGTGGGGCAGCCTGGCGAGGCTGGGGTGCAAACCCGTGCCGGACTTTCCCTTTCCATGTTTCGCAGCCCTGGGGTTGCTGCCGAGGCCGGACAGTCGGCTGGGCGGAAACCTGGATTTGGTCCTAAAAGCTGCGGGGTTGACCGGAAGTGATCTTGAGGCTGACCGGAAGCGAGGCCTGGAGGGACAAGGGAGCGTGGGTCCCGGGAGGGAGGGGGGGGTTCCTAGCCGTAGGGGGGCGGGGGGGAAAGGTGCGACGGCGACCTGGGAGCGCCCGGGAGGCCGTGGGTCGCTGCTGTTTAGGAAGCAGCGAGTGACCATCACGCGCAGAAGGGGAGAGCCCGGAGAGGAGTGTGGGCGCTCAGGGCTGCCCCTGGGCAGTCGGAATAAATCAGCGGAAGGGCCCTCTCGCGGCTCCGCAGAGCCGATTGCGAGGGATTTTGAAAGTCGGGGCAGAACAAGGAGCCGAGGGTAGGGGAGATCAGTGCGGGTTGGGCTAAAGGGCAGCTGGTGGGGACTGCGTGGGAAATAGTGGTTTGCCGGGTCCTCCAGTCCTGCCCCCATTGGATAGAATCACACTGCTCACCTTTGTGCAAGAAACAGTGTCTCCTGGGGCCAGGAAGCAGCCAGGATGGCTTGGGCTCTGAAGCTGCCTCTGGCCGATGAAGTGATTGAATCCGGGCTGGTGCAGGACTTTGATGCTAGTCTGTCCGGGATCGGCCAGGAGCTGGGTGCCGGTGCCTATAGCATGAGGTGAGTGAGATTTTCCCAGACCCTGCACCTTCTGAATAACAAAGGCAGGATAGAGGGTGGAGACGGGGGGGGGGGGGGGGGGTAAGGTGGGGGAGAGTTAAAGGAGTTGTCTGCAGTTAGGGAAAAGGGCCTTTTTTTTTTTTTTTTTTTTTTTCTGCTTTGAGTTTGAGTATTGTGGACAATGGAACTAGAGATTGTGGTCAGTGTCAAGTCTGCAGGATCAGTAGGAGGAGGAAGAATAGTAACCAGAGAAATGTTGAGAGGATGTTGTGCCTGTGTGGGAGGCTTGGGAGGGTGGTGGTGGTGGTGGTGGTGGTGGTGGTGGGTGAGTGTGTAGATTGGACTGGACTTGTATGAGGAAGAGGCTATCCTGAGCATGTGGGGAATGTCGAGGGTGTTGGGGCGTTGGAAGCTGGGTCTTAATGATGAATATTGGTTGACTGTTGGAAGGAAATGTGAGACGTTGGTGAAGAAGTCCACACATCTGTATCTTAGCCTGCTTTTAATGCTTTGCTTACTTCTAGGAACTTTTGAAACATAGTTGTGAAATGAAAAAGTATCAAAGAGGACTTTTAGATGCTTTTAGAGCTTCATGTATCAAACCAAATGTTGATAATAAAGTACCCTTTGGAAGCAACATTACTTTAACACGTAATTTATTTGCATGCATTTACCTACTTCATTCTCCCAGGATAGTTTGTTTCAAGTTTAAGATGTGCAAGAACCATGTCTGGAAATGTTGAAACATGTTCATCTTAGGGTTAGAGAGAATGTAATTGGGTTTCCAAATGCATTATAAGGCTTAATCTAAATAAGTAAGTCAAAAGAGACTTTATTTTTATTGAATTCGTTGGGGTGACCTTGGTTAATAAAATTATATAGATTTCAGGTGTACAATACTGTAATACATCATCTGTATATTCTATGTTTACCACCCCAAGTATCCTTCTATCACCATTTATCCCCCATTTACTCTCTCCTACCTCCCCCCCACCTTCCTTCCCCTCTGGTCATCACCATACTGTTGTCTGTCTATAAGGGTATTTTTTGTTGTGGTGTGCTTTTTTGCTTAATCCCTTCACCTTTTCCACCCAGCCCTCCTACCCACCCTCCTCAAAAGAGACTTTAGAACTTAACACCTTAATTGGGTTTAGGAGATTATTGAGAAAATAAGCTTTTTATGGGATAAGTTGACAAATTTTGCATTCTGATAGTGAGATCCTTTGAGAGTTGCATAATGTAAACTTCCTTTCTTTATCCATATGAAACCAAAATGGACTTTCCTCACTGAAGTAAAATTATGAGTTAAAATGTAGTAAATACTTCACCTTCAGGAATCTTTGCTTACAGTTAGAACAATAAAGGCTATCTGTATATACATATATTTGTGATTTTCAAGGAAATTTGAGTTCGATCATGCAATGCTCTTAGTCTTGAGGAATTTTTTAAAATATATTTGTATTGATTTCAGAGAGGAAGGAAGAGGAAGAGAGAGAGAGAAACATCAATGATGAGAAAGTATCATTGATTGGCTGCCTCCTACATGCCCCCTACTGGGGCTCGAACCCGCATCCTGGGCATGCGCCCTTGACTGGAACCAAACCTGAGATGCTTCAGTATGCAGGCTGATGCTCTATCCACTGAACCAATTTAACTCTAGTTTTGTCTGACCTTGTTTACATAAGACTGACCATAAAAATAGTGATTAACTTGGTCTGAAAGTAAATGTCTGGAACCTGAGCTTGCATGTTGGTATCTGACATAATATTTGACAATTTATGCTATTGTTCATTTAAAGATTACCAC